TTTGCCATAATGACTTAAGAAATTCTGCTCTTGTTCCACAGCAACCTCCAGCAGTCCTGGCCAAACACGTGTTAGCAGAAATCCCTAAACAAGTCCAGGAACATTTCAACAAACGTGGCCTCGCCCCCGTGCAGTCAAACGGACCTGAACCACCCTACTTGGGGGGTCTTTAATCTCGCTCGTGCAAACTTGGTTTAATGAACTCGCTTTAGTGCTATTTTAGTTTTATGAATTTTTATACACAGTTAAGGTGGATGTGACTTACCTTAAGAGTTTTTTAAGCCCCCTCGGGTTAAAGGGGTGGGAGAAGGGGTTATTTTCCAGCCACAGATTAGAGAAGGAATGCACGTCATTTTCTTGGTCGTGAAAGGTCTGGGTACGAGACGACAGTATGCGATGATCGTTACCCGGATCTGGGCTTTGTTCGATATTTGCGAAGTTCGTCACACGTAGTATGCATTGCATGTGAACATTGGTATTGGTGATGTTCGTTTTTTCAGTAGCTGGACTACAACATAAGTTTTTTTAGTTCTCGGTTAAGAGATTTTTTTTTTAAACTCAGTTGTTGACGCTAAATTACTTAGTTTACGGAATTGCTGTGGATTGCAAATCATTTTATTTTAGTCATATTAGTCTTTGCTCGACAAGGAGCCGATAGTGGCTACTCTGAGTTCGTTTCATCAAAGTTTTCACGAGAATTAATTTTCCTGGCTGGATTTGCCAGTGTTTTGATAAAATTATGAACCCAAGGTCTTGCATTTAACTGGTTTCTATTTGCCTTACAATTACTCAGAATTGATCCACAGAAATGAAACAGCACCGAATAATAAATTAAGTTATGAGCTGTAAATTTTTTTTGTAAGATTGACACTCGCAAGTGAGACTTCACTGGCGTGAAAGTCATCGATGTGTCTGCTTTCTCGTTTGCGTGTTACTTGCGTGCACGTCACTTAGGCTTGTATGCGAGAGCGAGGACTTGTGCGCACGATAGTCATCTTGCTCTCTTGTGCGCTTGTTAATCACGTGTAACGTAGGCTTATACGCTAGTTAGTCTCGAGATAATTACAATTTGGAGATTTGATATCTCTTGTACGTCAAAATAAGTCTTTTTGAAATAAAAATGACGTAAGGACTGCTTTAGAAAGCTTGCACCTTTTTCCCTGTGATAAGTAGTGTAAATTACTACTTTTTACCACGGCAAACTTTTTTCCCAATACAATCAACATTATGGATCCTAGTAGCATATAAGATGTCTTGCATGTCTGAATCAAACAACGCCAGAGTATGATTACAATTTCGAAGGTTCTGTTGATAAAATTATTTAAAGGAAAATTATAGAGAGAGTAGACATATTCAGCAAACCAAACATGCCTTTCCTTCCAATTCTCTTGTCAAAATAAATACCTAAAAAAATGTACATCAACTTGTTGGGGTTAAAATGCAGGAAGAATGCTGCGCCAAACGCATCAACAGCACTTAACCTCTTGCTACGTAGATGTACAGCAACTGGAAGATGTTCAACCACATCGAATGACGATGGCTAGCGATATGGCAAACTAAATGTCGCGATCTAAGCTCGACTAATAAAGACTTACATCGTGAGGAACGATTTCAAGCTTTATTATTGGGTTATCACGACAATGAACAAACATCTTATAACAACAGGTTAAACGCCAATTTTAAAAAAACAAAATTTGAAAGATTGTTTGGTTGATAGAAATAACAGGTTAAATCGAGCAAGTCGAGTCATAGCATGAGAATAAAGCTTTTCAAGAAATTTATCTTCAAGGTTCCATTTTCTCTAGGTTCGAGTTATCCTTTCTCTACAGAAGTTTTACAGTTGATTTAAGAATGAGTCTTCAACTGAAATCCTCTTTCGTTTTCTAAGTGAACGAAAGTCTCCGAGGAGCCATTCGATGCTTCTCGACCCGCTTTACAAGTTCGGAAAACTTATTTGAATTACAAATGATTTTCAAAGATTAATATTCATATTTGCGAGCAGTCTTGCACGTGGAAAGAGCCAAGAATTACGAGAAATTTTAGCGTCTTCTGCAGCTTCTCTGAGGCCATAAAACACATTATTTCGACGTTGTAACCTTAGCTTTGGTGCGCTCTGTCAAGTGTGGCGTGTGTTTCTTGACGTTGTTGACCTGGGTGGTTCAAATTTGACGTCGAGGACTCATGGATGTCATTTTGTCACGATTCTTGTTGAGGTAAATAACCTTCATAGAAATACATTTTTGATAGAAATACAGTGTCCGTGCCTCTCGCCATTGTAAAATCAGTCCAAATTGCATAGTTGGATGTGAAAAAGGATTAGCTTGCCATACTTTGTACACGGCAAGACAATTCCTTAATGGTAACCGCCATGACAGTTCTTCTTAAGCCAGGTGATCTTGCGGGCAACAGTGAGAAATTTGCACTTTTTTGCTGCCGTATGTCAAGAGATAATATTCACTTGTACATATTGATATCTTATGTATTTATTTATCCCTTATCGTACTTTTTATCCATTCTTGTCCCAATTTGATATCTATGCACGGAGAATGTCTTGTGTAAATAGAAGTGATATTATTATAATAATTATTATTATTATTATTATTATTATTATTATTATTATTATTATTATAAAATAAGATGGCTCCAGCTAGTAGTCCTTTTTTTTCTTTGGTTGATGCAAACATTGATCTCTGCTATTCGTAATAGTGTTTTCCTAAAGGTAGCTGTGTTCATATTCACAAGATACTTCTCTTTTCTTCCTTATCAAAAAGCGTCAAGCATGGAATAAGAGAAGATTTGGAAATAAAAGCAAGAAATAAAACAAGATAACTTCTAACAAGGTTGGTTTTATAAGTTTTTTTTTAAAAAGTTCTTTTAACTATCTGATTGTATGTAAAGCCTGCAGTGAACGCTTAAATTTGGATTTAACGGTACCAATTTAAAACATAGTCGAAAATAAAAACTGCGTACAAATAAATAACAGTACTGTAATGTTTGATTTCAGACAGCAATGTCTCATAATGTCTGATATCTGTAATGTCTTATTTTAAACAGTGCAATGCCTGATTTCTTACATATTTTTCTAGTATAGAAAAAATAGAATAGTTTTCAGTAGTTTACAGCACTGTTCATGATGAATCAATACTGCCTCTGTTTTCCTTTTTGTAAAAAACACTGGTGTCAAAGAAACATCTATTTGATATCATGAAAATTATGACCATCGGTTCGTTATACAATGTTACCATAGCAACAGTATAGCCTATCGAATTCCCCTTTAATTTAGGATCAGTTGACAATAGTGCAGAAGGAACTTAGTAATCCTATTTCACATTTTTATTGGACGATATTCGTCTCTAAAAAGTGCAGTTTTATGATGCAAAGATCTTTAATTGGCCAGCCTCAAACAAAGAAGTTGTCCAATGTATCAGCTCACTGGACTAAAATGAAATCTATTATGTTCCAAGTATTTATGTCTCCATAACCCAGAATTCTCATAGATCTCTGATGAGCAGATCGATCTGAGATTAGAACAAATTGGCGAAGCCTACTTGCTAAATTTCTTCGTTCTTCAGGTTAAAACGAACTAAGATATGCTCCAAAAATGTCTGTCCCTGCACGCTAACTGAAAAAAATTCTTCTTTATCACAAAATTGAGCCAAACTTGAGAGCCTCGATTGCTTGACATAGTCAACTCCTGATCGAGGCTAAAACAAAGCGAATTATTCACCAAAAATTTTAAGTTTACCAATTTTTTTTTGTCGAAGACACTATTTCGATTTCTGATAGGATTTTTATTTCCATTAAACAGTTTTTTAGCTTTATTACCGGTGTCTCAGCTTTTGAAGCAGGGGCTAAATGCAATATTCTCTAAATTAAGAGTTTGTGTTAAATCATTTTCATTAATTACTTTTCATATCTCGAGCGGGTTCAATAGTTCTTATCTATTTAGTTTCTTTTTGTAGAACAAAAGTAATTTCCTTCATTCGAGAATAATACTCGAGCCTAAGTGCCGCAGCTTTTGATGGTAAGAACAAAATAAAAATTATGCTGCAAAATAGTTTCCTTCTGTTTTTCAGAGTTCACCGTCAACTAAGAAAAAACTTTTCTTTTTTTTTTTTTTTTTTTTAATGACGAATATTTGTGAAGCCTAGTTGTTGAATGTTTACGCTTTTGAGGCTAAAACCAAGCTCAAAGAAGAATGCCCCTAAAGAGGAGATTTCTCACAAAGATTCCTCAAATTTTCGAAATTTATTTATTTATTTATTATTTTAAATGGTGGCTAGAAACTCTTCTGGCTAAAAATGAGAGAAAAATAAAATTCTTTAAAATGATTGATGAATCTTTTTTGGTGCGAAAATTGGTGAGTGAATTCAATTAAATTCAAAATACGTGTTATACTATTGCTTTCTTGTGTTACGCTAAAGTTTTTTTTACCAAGAAAATGTCTTGAAAAACCTTAGGGTATTCTATATCTAGAGAAATGGTTTGGATAGACGTTATGAACGATAAAGGTTAGATGTTGAATATGTTCGGATTTGAGAAACTGTAGTCTGAATCAATTCAAATTTCGGGAAGGCGATACTGTTCCTCATTGCCTAACAAAGGCCTAACAACGATGAAGTCCAGTTTTAAATGAAAAAAATTCACAATAACTCAAAAATGTTCCAGAGTAACGAGGTTATCAAAGAAATTGGTTACTTTACTTCATATCAAGCACTTCTGAAAAGAGCCTTAAATCGCCAGAAATTTGCTGATATTTTTTTAACAGACAGATGAACCGGAGTTGTTTTATAAAAAATAATTTTCTCAAGAATAGTTTACAGCTTTTCTTTTTCTGAATATTATGTCCCTCGCGATTCCATTTTTATTGGAATTCAAATATTCACTCATTTTCAAGCGCGAAGATGTAAATGTGCGGTTTTTTTAACGAGCAAAAGCATACATGATCAAAGTAGGATTCAATTCTTAAAGTAGGATTCTTTGATCTGACCCTTTTGGACACTTTTTCGAAAAACAAAAAACTGAACTTGAGCAAAGTATTTGGTCTCCTTAAAGATTATTAAACTCGGCAGATGATAGGAAATGAAATCCAACCTTTCAGAAATTCAACTATTTTGGAGAAAATTATTTAAAATTATAATTATGTTGTCATTCAAAAAAAAGTGTCGATCACG